TCCTCTTCCTCCTTCCCTCCATTTCTCTTCCTCCTTCCCCTCCATTCCTCTTCCTCCTTCCCTCCCCTCTTCTTCCTCCGTCCCTCCATTCCTCTTCCTCCTTCCCTCCATTCCTCTTCCTCCTTCCCCTCCATTCCTTTTCCTCTTCCCTCCCCTCCTTTTCCTCCTTCCCTCCCCTCCTCTTCCTCCTTCCCTCCATTCCTCTTCCTCCTTCCCTCCATTTCTCTTCCTCCTTCCCTCCATTCCTCTTCCTCCTTCCCCTCCATTCCTCTTCCTCCTTCCCTCCATTCCTCTTCCTCCTTCCCTCCATTCCTCTTCCTCTTCCTCCTTCCCCTCCATTCCTCTTCCTCTTCCTCCTTCCCCTCCATTCCTCTTCCTCCTTCCCTCCATTCCTCTTCCTCCTTCCCTCCATTCCTCTTCCTCCTTCCCTCCATTCCTCTTCCTCCTTCCCTCCCCTCCTCTTCCTCCTTCCCTCCATTCCTCTTCCTCTCCCCCCCCTCTTCCTCCTTCCCTCCATTCCTCTTCCTCCTTCCCTCCATTCCTCTTCCTCCTTCCCCTCCATTCCTCTTCCTCCTTCCCCTCCATTCCTCTTCCTCCTTCCCCTCCATTCCTCTTCCTCTTCCTCCTTCCCCTCCATTCCTCTTCCTCCGTCCCTCCATTCCTCTTCCTCTTCCTCCTTCCCCTCCATTCCTCTTCCTCTTCCTCCTTCCCCTCCATTCCTCTTCCTCCTTCCCCTCCATTCCTCTTCCTCCTTCCCCTCCATTCCTCTTCCTCCTTCCCCTCCATTCCTCTTCCTCCTTCCCTTCATTCCTCTTCCTCTTTCCCTCCATTCGTCTTCCTCCTTCCCTCCATTCCTCTTCCTCCTTCCCCTCCATTCCTTTTCCTCTTTCCTCCCCTCCTTTTCCTCCTTCCCTCCCCTCCTCTTCCTCCTTCCCTCCATTCCTCTTCCTCCTTCCCTCCATTCCTCTTCCTCCTTCCCTCCATTCCTCTTCCTCCTTCCCTCCATTCTCTTCCTCCTTCCCCTCCATTCCTCTTCCTCCTTCCCTCCCCTCTTCTTCCTCCGTCCCTCCATTCCTCTTCCTCCTTCCCTCCATTCCTCTTCCTCCTTCCCCTCCATTCCTCTTCCTCCTTCCCCTCCATTCCTCTTCCTCCTTCCCCTCCATTCCTCTTCCTCCTTCCCTCCATTCCTCTTCCTCTTCCTCCTTCCCCTCCATTCCTCTTCCTCTTCCTCCTTCCCCTCCATTCCTCTTCCTCCTTCCCTCCATTCCTCTTCCTCCTTCCCCTCCATTCCTCTTCCTCCTTCCCTCCATTCCTCTTCCTCCTTCCCTCCCCTCCTCTTCCTCCTTCCCTCCATTCCTCTTCCTCTCCCCCCTCCTCTTCCTCCTTCCCTCCATTCCTCTTCCTCCTTCCCTCCATTCCTCTTCCTCCTTCCCCTCCATTCCTCTTCCTCCTTCCCCTCCATTCCTCTTCCTCCTTCCCTCCATTCCTCTTCCTCCTTCCCTCCATTTCCTCTTCCTCCTTCCCTCCATTCCTCTTCCTCCGTCCCTCCATTCCTCTTCCTCCTTCCCTCCATTCCTCTTCCTCCTTCCCTCCATTCCTCTTCCTCTTCCTCCTTCCCTCCATTCCTCTTCCTCTTCCTCCTTCCCCTCCATTCCTCTTCCTCCTTCCCCTCCATTCCTCTTCCTCCTTCCCCTCCATTCCTCTTCCTCCTTCCCCTCCATTCCTCTTCCTCCTTCCCCTCCATTCCTCTTCCTCCTTCCCTTCATTCCTCTTCCTCTTTCCCTCCATTCGTCTTCCTCCTTCCCTCCATTCCTCTTCCTCCTTCCCCTCCATTCCTTTTCCTCTTCCCTCCCCTCCTTTTCCTCCTTCCCTCCCCTCCTCTTCCTCCTTCCCTCCATTCCTCTTCCTCCTTCCCCTCCCCTCCTCTTCCTCCTTTCCCTCCATTTCCCTTCCTCCTTCCTCTCCCCTCCTCTTCCTCCTTCCCCTCCCCTCCTCCTCCTCCATTCCTCTTCCTCCTTCCCTCTATTCCTCCTCCTCCTTCCCCCTCCCTTCCTCTCCCTACTTCTCTTCCATTCCTCCTTTCTCTCGTCTGTTTCCCTTCGTCAGATGTTGCCATAAATAGTTACCACATCTTTACAGCTAAAACATTTGAATCCATCTTCCAGACGAAGCAAACCATAATGAACCTTAAAACCCCTTCTGCGTAAGAGTTATTTTCCCTTCATCCTTCCTACTTAACCGCAGCCGGATGTATGCTAAGCAAAAATTGGTCTTAATTCGCCTGCTAGTTAGGGTCATATTACTTCCTTTCTTATCCAATTTAGATAACATACATTAGATGATATTGAACTTGAAGGCGCTTGCTAATAATAATAAAAAAAATGGATTCCTTTGACTGACTGGCTAAAAGGATATACTGGTTCAGAGATTTTGTAAATAATATTTTCCTTATTTTCTGTAATATTTATCTTCCCTTACTGTTTACCTCCTTTATATCAAGTCTTGTAGTTTTAATCAGCATTATGGAATGGAAGCGAATGAGAGAGAGAGAGAGAGAGGGAGAGAGAGAGAGAGAGGGAGAGAGAGAGAGAGAGAGAGAGAGAGAGAGAGAGAGAGAGAGAGTAAGAAAAAACGGAAAGACAAAGTGAAAGAGATAGATAAATAGATAGAAGAGAAGCGATGAGTGAGAATGATCAAGTGAGAGAAGAAATGGAAAGAGAAAGTGAAAGAGAGAGAGAGAGAGAGAGAGAGAGAGAGAGAGAGAGAGAGAGAGAGAGGGGGGGGGGGGGGAGAAGTCACAGAAAGGAAAAGTGAGTGAAAAGGGAAAAAGGAAAGAGAAAGAGAGTGAACTAAAAGTGAAAGAAAACGAGAAAAAGATCGATAGATAGAGAAAGTTAGAAAGACAAAGTGAAAGACTGACAAAATGAGAGAGAGAAAGAGAAAGAGACAGACTCTAAATAGATTACTTCTCCAATCGAAGTCATCGCAAACACGGCATGTGATAAGCAACAGAAGTGAATAAAAAGGAAGAAAAAGAAATAGAGAAGAGGAAAAGATTATTGCCATTTTCTTCAAAGTTAAATTGCATCGGTTGCCATGGAAACTTATGTACATAAAAGTACAGTTGTCTGGGGGACGAAAGTGTGTCTGAGAGAGAGAGAGAGAGAGAGAGAGAGAGAGAGAGAGAGAGAGAGAGAGAGAGAGAGAGAGAGAGAGAGAAAGAGAGAGCGAGAGGGCGAGAGACAGAGAGAGAGAGGGAAGTGGACGCGAGAGAGAGAGAGAGAGAGAGAGAGAGAGAGAGAGAGAGAGAGAGAGAGAGAGAGAGAGAGAGAGAGAGAGAGAGAGAGAGAGAGAGAGAGAGGGGCACAGAGGGATATCTTGAGGACACTTGAGAACTCTGTCTGGCTGACGGTCAAACCTAATTTCTCTCTCTTCTTCTATATTCTTATTCGTTCTTGCCATATTTCTCTTTCCCCTTTCGCTTTTCCTTCCTCGTCTCCATTCTCACCTGTTGATCTTTCCGCTCCATTTTCCATTTTCCTGATTTCTGTGTGAAAATTGTGTGTGTATATATATATATATATATATATATATATATATATATATATATATATATATATATATATATATATATATATATATTTATATATATATAATATATATATATATATATATATTAGAGAGAGAGAGAAAGAGAGAGACAGGCAGGCAGACAGACAGACAGACAGACAGATAGATAGACAGATATGTGTGTCTGTGTGTGTTCTTATGTATAGATACACACACATTCACTCGCATGTACGCGCAGACGGAATCTCAGACTGAATTAAACTGAATAATCATGAAAACTGTTTATAACGCTTTCAAATATCGCTTGGGCAAAGGCGAGACAGGATTGAGCTTATACAGGATAATTGGCTGGGTCTATTTACCAATAACTTGAGTATTTCTTATCATTATCATCATAATTATTATTTTTATTCATTATTTTGATTTTTTTTCTCTATTTTTTTTTGTGTATCTTAGTCGCTATTTGTGTAAAAAAAAATTGTGAATAATTTTGAGTTATGGGATTCTGCAATTATACCAATAAATTTGTTGCAAAAATAAAATAATTTGATGATTTCTATGGATTTTCAGAGTATCAACAGGTAGGAAATTTCTACCCTTCTTAAAAATAGGCCTATTGGTCTCGTCTCAAGAAAAGAGAGTGTTAGAGGAAAAGGAGAGAGAAAAAAATAGCACTTTGTCCTTTCATTCTTTTTTTATTTCATTTTCTCTCTTTCTTTTTATTTTTTTTTGTTTATTTTGACACTTGATACTAATTTTGACATATGTCTAGATTTCCATGCAATATATATATATATACTTTATTGGTTTACATCACTGTGCTATCCTCTATTCATCTATTTATTACTATAATTACTTGTTATTATTATTATTACTATTATTATTACTTTCAGAAAACACGGGGAATCGAAGTCTATGGTGAGATTTTCCAGATATCCCTTTCCTGAAATTTGACAGAGGAAGATGAAACATTTATTGGTTCAATTATAATAAATATGATTTATATTCTGGATAGCTCATTTTGTATGCCTCTGTTCTTGTTCAAAATCCGTAAGAACTAGTTTCTTTTTTTTTTTTTTTTTTTTTTTTTTTTTTTTTACTTGACCAGATCGTTTGTTTAATTTATATATATCCATGTTTATTATTCCTTCACCCTTCCACCTCAAAAAACAAAACAAAAAAAACAAACAAACAAACTACAGATGTTCAACTATAGAAGAGGAAATGAATACGAGTAGGAAAAGTCAATCTTTATTTCCACGTTCTCTCTCTGTTTTTTTTTTTTTTTTTAATGTTTATGCACAAAGCCAAGTACTCATTATGGTCTACCAACCTTAATGACTCGCCGGTTGTGGTTTCTTGACGATCTGCCAAAGTGTGTACATTTGTATTTAATTATGTGTATCTTTATTTGCGTTGTATGTGTACAGGTGTTGGGAATACTGTGTAATATAATGTATATTATGTACAATTAAGCATAATGAGAATATTGCTCTCTCTCTTTCCACCTCTCCCCTTTTCTCTTAATCTCTGTCCCTCTCTTATTTCGTTTTTTTTTTTTTTTTACTTTTATTTGCTTTCTCTCTTGTAAATTTACAGTGTTAAAATTACTGGGCATGATTAATGTAATGTGTGTATGTTAACACCTTGTTGTTATATTCACTATATGGGTGCGAGGTTTCCTTGTTGGGGACTGTCGAGGAGAGATTTATAATGTTGTTGATATAATACAGCTCAAGGACGAACACCCAAATAAATGCTCATAAAGAAAACAAAAAAATCTGTTAAATACTTATGGTCACTGCCCATTGTGGGAGAAAAAAATGGGTATGAGGTAATTCTATTTCTATATTTCTATTGTGGACGGAGAGGCTCAGAACATGAACTGTGTCTTGTTCAGTGATATCTTTTTCTAGATTGAATTTCATTTGAGTACTGTTTTTTGTATTTTTTTTCTAATGTAATTTTTGTTTTATTTTATTATATTTCTATTTTTATTTTATGTGTTTCTTTTTCTTTTTTTTTTCCTTTTCTTTTCTCTTTCTGTTTCTCACATATCTTTCTTGTTTTTCTCTGAAGAATTTTCTTTTCTTCAGCTCTTAGTCTTACTATCATTATCATTATTATTATTTTTTTTGTCCAGTGACTTACCTTGTCAAAATAAATATGCGATTTATATTTTTTCTTCTTCTTGGAGTCACATCTGATGGAAAGAATGAAAGAAATATTTAGCATTACTTTTTCTCGTTTTCTTTTGATTTGTTTTACTATTTTTTATCATCTTTATGGCACCAACTTTCCACTGATTGGTTGAGAGCACCCATCGGTTTTGTTGTTGATTCACGCTTATTGGCTGAAGCTCTCCGCGTGAAATCCTTTTCAAATGAGAAAGGGTGCTCGTGATTGGTTAGAATGTTTAAGGATAAGAGAGGACGCTCCTGATTGGCTGGCGAAAATTTGGATTCGTCCAATCACAAACCTTGGGAAAGAGAGGATTATGAAGTCATTTTTTTTGGAGGTGAATTTAGCTTTTTTTGATTAAGAATTGTCATTAAGATAAAACATTTTTGTTTTGTTTTGTTGAAGTATGAAGGGGATTAAAACCTGTATTACATGATTAGAGTAAATATATTTTAGGAAAGGAATACACACATCATGTTTAATTCATATGGGCAAAACATTAATTACATTAAAACCGAATTAGTCATAGTGAATATTTTTTTTTCTATTTTTTGGGGTCTTTTTGGTATTAAGTTCATTTCGAGTTTATTTTGGATTTAATGGTTTATTGTGAGGAGATGTGATGGAGAGGAGAAAGCGAAGGTGATTTTTTATGGCCTCGATATGAATCCTCCAGGAAAAAAATAAAGGGTAAAATAAGCGAGCAGAGAATAAAGCGCCATAAATTTCCAGCCTACGCTTTCTCCTTCAATCATATATATATAAAAAAACAAAGAAACAAAAAAAATAATCATTCGCTTGATTATAATTTGCAATGGATGCATTAAAATTAGATCATTCAGTATAGATAATGCTTAAAATCAAGTACATTCTTGGCACAGACTTTGCTCAGAGAGAAAAAAAAAGTAAAGAGAGAGAGAAAATAGATTTTTTTTTTTTTTCTGAATTCAAAATTACTTTGAAATCATGTAGTGTGAATTCAAAGTTCCTCTGAATTCTTGTTTTATCTTTAAGAACACAATATTCAGCAAAGAAAGTCGATTTCATGAATAAATATATATTTAAAAAAGGATTATTCTACATTTGGACTGCCCTAATGTTATCTTCAAAATATATTAAGTTTACGCATTCAGTTCAAACTTAGTGCCAGCTGGCCAAAATGCAGATAGCTTTATTTCGCACTTTAAAAGAAAAAAAAAAATCTGGACAAAACACATATCATCAACTTTATTTATAATTATATATATATATTTTTTTAAAAGAGAATTAACTAATGGTAACACGGTTTGGGAAACTCACCTCTATTATACTTTGTCCCAAGGTTTTAAGTTACCCAACTCATGCACCTTCTGAGATAATATACTTTTGGCCAACTGGCTTTACATGATATGACGAAAGAGACGGTGTTAAATAGCATCATAATAGTCCCCCTTGCAATTGTGGTTGGTTTAGCATAAGTTTACAATACTGCTGACTAGTACCATCTACTGTTTCTAAGGGAAAAAAAATAGACTTAATCTAGGCCTAGTCAAAGTAGACAGTGGCAAAAGAAAAAATCGTATATGTATATATATATATATACCTTACCTCAAAAAAAAGAAGACTAAATTTTATTCATACATTATAAATAGATGAAAGAAGAGTTTTGTATATATATATTTTGTTTTCTTTTTTTCTTCTTCTAGAAAAAAAGAGAAAATGAAAATGTTTGATGTTACTCTTCTGTCATCAGGAACTAATTCCAACCACCGGTCTTTGATGTGGTGTTCGTATAAAGGATAAGTACATACGTTTGGATATTTGCATACTGTCCTCATTGGAAGAAGGTAAAAAAAAAGGGAAAAAATTCAAAACGAAATTCTTAAAAAAAAGAAAAAAAAAAATGGGTTTGCGGTCATTGCAGCATTTACATATTTTAAAAGACATTCAAGTTGATCTCATTCTCTATTTTTATATATATACATTATGCGATGAAAAATTTTAGATTGTGAGTTTATACTTTTTTTCTCTTTAGTAAGATGTTATTTAAAAAAAAAGACTTATATCCTATTTAAATCTGATTTTGACTTCGTTTGACATTTGTTTTTGTTTTTTTTGTTTGTTTTTATTCGCCAAGAGGCCAATATCAAGGGATCAATCAAAGGAAATTTGAGAATCCTAAAATATTTTCATAAAAAATACAACTTTAGAAAGCGCAATACGCGACTCGATTATACTTTATCGTAGCCATCTTATTTACAATATTTTCAGCATGTTCAGCATTACAATAAAGGAGAAGGAGAAAGACAGGAAGAACAAAGAAGAATGAGAAGAAGAAAAAGAAAGGAAGACGAATGAGAAGAAGAAGAAAACGACAGAAAGAAGAAAAGAAGAGAAGGAAGAGAAAAAGACTGAGAGAAGAAAAGAAAAAAGAAGAGAAGAAGGAAAAGAAAAAGAAGAGAAGAAGAAATAGAAAATAGAAAAAAAGGAAGAAGAAAATAATAATAAACATTAGTTCGTATACAGAAACATCACTCCTTCGCTAGTCTTTGCACCTATCACACCAACGGCAGAAACTACTATATTACACAGTTGATAAAAAAGAGCTTATTTCAAGTTCTTTTTATTTTACGCCTCTCAAAGACAAAGAGGTGCTAGATGCTTTTTATTTTTTATTTTAAAGAAAACTTACCATCGAAAAAGACCCTGTGTTTGCGTTAATCTAGTTTAGGGATGGTAAATGGGGCACCATTTGCTTGCTAGTTTGGTGAGAACATGATTACGTTTAGGTGTGTGTGTGTGTGTGTGTGTGTGTGTGTGTGTGTGTGTGTGTGTGTGTGTGTGTGTGTGTGTGTGTGTGTTTGTCGATGTAATAAACTAATAGATTATTCATACATCTTAAAACCTGAATGATGTTTGACTTATCTGAATAAAGTCGTGCTCTACAGCAAGAATGAATATATATATATATATATATATATATATATATATATATATATATATATAGAGAGAGAGAGAGAGAGAGAGAGAGAGAGAGAGAGAGAGGAGAGAGAGAGAGAGAGAGAGAGAGAGAGAGAGAGAGAGAGAGAGAGAGAGAGAGAGAGAGAGAGAGAGAGAGAGAGAGAGAGAGAGAGAGAGAGAGAGAGAGAGAGAAGGAGAGAGAGAGAGAGAGAGAGAGAGAGAGAGAGAGAGAGAGAGAGAGAGAGAGAGAGAGAGAGAGAGAGAGAGAGAGAGAGAGAGAGAGAGAGAGAGAGAGAGACGGACAGACAGAAGAGATAGTGGAAGAGAAAGCAAAATGAGAGGAAGAGAGAGAGAGAGAGAGAGAGAGAGAGAGAGAGAGAGAGAGAGAGAGAGAGAGAGAGAGAGAGAGAGACGGACAGACAGAAGAGATAGTGGAAGAGAAAGCAAAATGAGAGAGAGAGAGAGAGAGAGAGAGAGAGAGAGAGAGAGAGAGAGAGAGAGAGAGAGAGAGAGAGAGAGAGAGAGAGAGAGAGAGAGAGAGAGAGAGAGAAAGAGAGAGAGAGAGAGCGAGCATGACACTAATCCGCTTTCGCCCAACTATATTGCTAACACCTTCTGGCATCCGCAGCAAGTATCCCCCTCCTTATGTAAATGGAGTTTCCTGCTTTTATAAGATTACTGCGCCGCCGATCATCTCTCCACCGACAAGATGTTTTATAAAGCCGGCTGCCGGGTGTCCTTTGGTGAATCTCCTTACTAAGCGGGTTGATTTATAATGGGGGGGGGGGGGGGGTTGAGTGATTTCGCCTTGTGAATTCAATTCCTTAACGGATTTTGGTTTGAATTTCCCGCCAATTCGAGCGCACGGATGGAGTGTAAGTAAATAAAGGTGATTATTATGCATTACTTGATGAAAATACGCTCCTATCTGTTGTACATTTATGTTTATTATGCAAAATAGGAACCAAAAGGATACTAAATAGCGTTTCCACTCTTGTTAACAAAATAACGGAATCATGAAGGAGACCTATATTGTCCTGTCCTTTTTCCGAGGGACATGTGACAGAACCGTTACAATTCAAATTCAAATTTTTGAAAATTGCCGGCCCACCCCATGAATGTTAATGCAGACACAACAACGACTGTCATCATAGCGGTCAGTCTGTCTGTCACTTGACTGAATGAGACGAGGGCTGCAGTTTCTCTCCTGTATTTTAATGAAGAAATCGGAGAGAGGGAATGAGAGAGAAAGGGAGGGGAGAAGAGAGAGAGAGTGGGGAAGAGGGAGAGGAAGAGAGAGAGAGAGAAACATTTACATGTGTGGATAGACAGAT